ATATAATATCATATCACATATATACACATATATAACAAACGCAGGGCATCGATTTTTATCTGCTTAAGAGAAGCCACGGTATAAGTGAAAGATGAAAACAAAAACTTTCCAAAGATTCAGAGACCAGGTGTGCTAACTTGAAGCTGTGGTGTCCCTGCACTCCTTTTGTGACTTCTAAATACTTTCAACTGTCATTAGGTAAATACAGTATGAACAGTTTCATCAAGTCCTTTCTTCTTGTGAAACAGTTATTCTGATTAAAGCTTCAGAAAAATAACTGTCTCTTATCAATAAGGAAACATAATTTAGCATCCACAGCACTAAGTTTCAAAATGAGATCCAGACACAGCCCATGGCATCTGAACACGAATTCAGGAGGCTGGGCCAGGGGAAGGGAATTTGGGCAAATCTCAAAATCTCACTTAATCTATAGTTTTGGGGAGAAGGGTAGCCTTCTGGGCCATTCCCCAGCCCAGGATCCCCACGCCCCACCTCATTTCCCACCAAGCACTGAATTCCCAAAGCCTGAACAGACAGACATAGGGCAGAGACTGCTATCATTCCACAGGCAAACATTTAGCTGGCAAATCTGGAGCAAAAAGAGAGCTTGCTAGAAGGCAATTGCACACCGATATCAAATGGTCTACACTGTTAACGTCTTGACACTTACTTAATGATTTTTGTCACTGGCGCCCAGCCCAACTAAATCAAAAGCACAGTTACAAATTTTATCCTCCACTTTTCAAAGTCTGCACCATCCAGGAAACTTCCAGGGGCAAAGCCCTAACATCACAAAACACGGAGAAGGAAAAAAAAGCATCAGAGAACTGGAGAAGGCACAGGCTAGCGCTATTTATTCAATAGGAAACTTGTAATCAAGAGGACAGACCACAGACTGCGCGGGAGGAACATAGGATTTCCTGCAACTCGCTCTTGGCCAAAGTTAATTAGGCCCAGCCTCAGTTTCTAAGGGATGCAGGCAGCTCGGAAGGGTGCTGCCTAGCAGGCACAAACTGTTGAATCACAAATTCTTGAGATATTTTCACTAAAAAATAATAATAAAAAAAGAAACATTTTATACGACTGAGGCAGTGGTCAAACAGAAGCCAATACAGGATCCAGTTCATAGTAGGGAGCTGCACCTTAATCAGCAGGAGAAGAGAGAAGTGGTAAGTTCTTTACAAACTTCGTAAGAATCAATGCAAGAAGGAGAAGGATACGGTCGTTCTGGGGGCATGCATGCACACACGCACAGCCTGCACGGACGGGCAATACTCTGGACGTAAAGTGCTGGGCTCACTTCGTGTCAGATGTTTACATACAAAAAGGGATCAAGTATGATTATTGGAATTACTCCCTCAAGGACAAACGGGTGAATAAAACCTCAAACCTGACACTTTCTTACACACACAGAGATTAAGTAAACTGGCCAGAGTATTATACAGGCAGGATTCTTCCTCAGATCTCAGTTTAAGTGGTATTTGTGTTGCTATCAAGTGGAAGAGGCCAAAGCGCACTGGGTACGACAGCTCGGAAGCACCAGATTGCCTCCTAGTCTCTCTGCCCTGGTTTGGGCACTACTGCAGGATTCCCAGTCCTGATTCTCAACCACGTGCAAGATGCGCAGCAGTGAGCCAGCTGCCCTGACTGCAGGGGCAAGGGAATAATTTGGCACCAGTAATAAAAGTGAAGGTTTTATAGGATTTTCTTCCCTCCACAACAAATCCTTGCAGCTGAAAAGCAGCTGGATAACCTTTATAATCCTCTGATCTTTTATCCTGATCTGGAACTAAATTAACAATTAACTGTCAATTTATTAGCTGTATTAGAAATTGAAAGCAGAAATATCTGCCCTTTTAGCAAGGATTATAGTTTTACCTGCTCAAGGGACTGAACAGAAAAAACAAAGATGAGACCAGAGCAACATAAAAGTCACATATTTGAGAACAGCTTCCTAGCAGCTCTAGTACAAAATATTGCTTCCACTGAGCAACACCACAGGTGCCAGACACTGCCAGTACAGCTGCAGATCTTTTAAGGGCTGATGCTCACAATTGAGGGACATGTATATCTGCTGTCTGATGACCTACAGCATCACAGACCCACCCTCCCTACGCGCAGGATCTCCACCTTTGAAGAATTACATAACAATGATATTTGCAGAGGACCACTTAATGACTGGAACATATCCAAGCTGTATATGCTTCCCCAAAGCAAAGAGCTTGTTTTATACCTGAAGACGTGCTCCTGAAGTAATATCTCATTCCGATGACTTTTTCTTTTTTCTTAATAAAATGCATGCCCCTATAGAAGTACATCAATAGTATAAATAATAGCAGCCCTATCCTTTGCTTCAGAACAGGCAGAGCTCTCTCCAAGACGGCAAAGCCAAACCGCAAAGAGCCCTTAAGAGGGCACATTGCTAGAGCGTGCCTGTGATATGCTGGGGCGAGGAAGGTACTTAAGCCTAGTTAGGCAAGATAAGGCTGACCAAACACCTAGGAGGTTTTTTGAACTTAGGCTGAACCATTTATGTTACACAGAAAGCCGTCGTTCCTCTAGCACTTACAGAACCTGGGCATTTTGGCAAATTCACTGATCAAAACTGAGACAAAAAACCACACAGCTCTTAGACGTTTGGGTCTAGGCATGCCTCTTGCACAACAGCATGGTTAATCACGAGCGCAGACTCTCATATGCAAGATCATTCTGGTTGAGGTGTCTCACAAGAAATGAAACCCCTTTGATCAAGAAATCGGGGTTTGAGAACGCATTTCGTTGACAGTTTTAAATACAACAAATCACTCATATTCCTCCTGCAGGAAAGGGTATGAGCAGATGCTCCTGCAGGAAAATAAAATCACGGAGGTTCTTCGGTTATGTGTTGTTGGTTTGGGATTCTTGTGTTGTTTTTGGCAGATGGACAAACAATTTCCTTTCATAAGGCAAGCAGAATCAGAGCAAACCTTGACAGACAGGACAGTAAGTAAAACCAGATCCAAATTAGATGTTTCCCGTTCCAATTTCCTCAAGCAAACTGTCCAGGCAAGCGTGTCTGAAGATTTTCAGGACTAGTCCTACTGCTTTGAGCTAGCCAAGAAATTGAAGTGCTGTATTAGCGTTACCTACTGATGCTACTAAAAGCACAGGGACCCAAGTTCTTGACTCCACATAGAACAGACAATATCTGGAGACGGGCCCAAAGCAACTGTGTTGTTTTCCTCTGTTTCCACAGGTGATTAGGTAGAGATGCCACAGACCAGTAGTTCCACCATCAACAGCCACATCAAAGTTCAATCTGAGAGCATCAGCACCATGTTCCTGAAATAAGAATTGCCCAAGAACATCACAAAGCAAGGACCAACGTCAGTCAGCTTTGGTCTAGCTGGACTAGGGCTGAAGCCGTGTGGACAAAGCACTAGCCAGAAAGCGAGCAAGCAGGGGATGGCTGAAGCAGCCATCCTATCTGCAGATGAGAAGCCCCTGGAGGTACAAAGTGATAGGACATCTCACCGACATTACACTGCAGACAAAAAAACCCTCCAAAACAAAACAGTCCATGCTCTTTGATGCAGTCTGCTTACTAGTTTTTGGAAACCCCAACACAGATCAATCTTTCCCCCATGAATGAATTTACCAAAGCAGCACTTCTGAGACTACCCACATGTCTCAAAGACTGAACTATACTGACACATGGCAACAAAGAAGCTGAGAAATCAGCTTCAGAAAAGCATCAGTGGCTCAGCAGAAGCATACGTCAAAGGTGCTCTCTAGGTATCCAAAAGGAAATGAAGTAGCTCCAGCTACTATGAAGGGATGGACCTCTAACTTGCCTTCTTCATGGCCTGTCATATGGGCCAATCTCATATGACAGGCAAGTTTGAGTCTCTTGCACAAGCTGCACAGTATCTGGAAGAATTTCAGACAATACTCTCTTCCTTACAAAGATAATTTACCTACCATAGAAGGTAAAAGCAAGAAGCTCATTCTAACACAATAAATCAAAACAGAACAACACCAGTGACAGCTGAGACAACCATTACCATTCACATACAAAAATATCAACAATAAATGATCTAGTACCTCAGAAGTCGTAGGCAGCTACATAATAGCACTGTGCCAGTCCTCAGGAACCCAAAGCATTGGAATGTTTATCCTATTCTTGCAATCATCTGTTTCCTCTTGCCCATAAAAATATGGACAAACTCATCATATTTTATAAAATCAACACTTAATTTGTTCCTGCTGTCTTTTGCACAGAGAACACAACACAGGTCATTCAACTTGAAGGGGAGTCATGGAGAAGCCCTGCTGTTCCATCAACTTACTGTACAAAAATAAAGCAGAAGCTTAAGTATAAGAGAACTGAAAAAACCCCCTAGAGATTTCTACAGACATTCTTTTTCCCCAAAAGTCTGAAATCTCGTATCATTTTTGGGGTCCCCTGCCTTGCCTTATGACTTGTTCTGAACACGTACTTCATGATCTGGAAGTTATTCCCAAGATGAACTGATCTTCCAACAATTTGCAAGCAGCAAGTTCAATTTTGTATTTAAACACAAACAAGTATTCAGTTTTTCACACTAATGTTGCAAAGCATAAGTCATGCACTACAGCTTACCGCAGAAATGACTCAACTGTACAGCTGCTGCACCAATACACCTGGTATTTATGCAGAAATAAGCTTCATCCTATCCCTTACAAACACTTAACAGATATTCCTTTATCTTTGATAACATACACAGACTGGCAACATTTTGGGCTTAGGCTTTAAGCTACATTTACACAGAAAATGGATTACAGTGGTTCCGTATATTGCAGGAGGTCAAGAGTGTACATCTCCCCAAATTCCTACATCAGCACTAACACTCCCTAGCCATTTTTAGCACTGATGTCACTTTTCCAGGCTCGTGGGTCATTAAGAGCAGGTATTAAGTATAAAAAAGTAGTATTACATTAAAAAGCACTAATGAGTTTGAACAAATATTAAACAATTGTTTTCAATTTAAAGAGACTACAAACAGGATGCATCTGGGCCAAAATGGGAGTTTAAAAAAGGCAAAAGAATCATCCCATTTTAAAGAGGTATTTTGGAGAAGAACAACATTTCCTTCAGTGGCTGCAACTACAACAATGTGCAGCAGTACGTTGTACCCACCTGTCCCTGAAGTTCCATTTCCATCGTTTAAGCTGAATGAAATAGCAAAAATAAAACTGAGTGGAAAGCTGCGTTGAGAAGATTTAGTGCATTTCCAAGGACAGGGCATAGGGGGAAAAGGGAAGGAGAAGGAGTGTTTCAACATTTATAAAAAAGCAAGTTTCTCTACATCTTGCACCCAGGAGAGAATTCCATGACTTCAGAGCTGCTGGAGAAGAACTACTGGAGATCCAGCACAAAACCCAGAGCAAAACAATCCAAAATGTATTTTTTGAAGAAAAAAAAAAAAACAAACACATTACTAATGTGCTGCTAGATACCAAGTTACACTTCATACCATGACAATTAAACAACTGCCTCCAGCATTCACTGGTACCCAGCAGAGCCAGACTGCCTTCAGAAGAATCTCCATCGCAAGGCAAAACGTTAAGAGACAAATCAGTGCTTCTACCAACTGAGCAACCTAGAAGTGAAGTGACAGAAAAGCATCTTACTGCCTGCTGACAATTCAGCCCGACGTTTCCCTTTTCGCCCCGTACTACTTTCATCAGGCAATGCAGGGTGCGACCTTTCCGATGCAGGCCTGAGCAGTGGTGTTCGATCTCCCCTCGGCAGCTCAGGATGATTTCTGGGCTCAGCGAGAAGTCTTCCATTAGCATGCGCCGGTAATCCAACATTTCACCCTGGCACTCGCTGCTCACTTGTCGACCTGAGCCAAGAGAAGACAACGTGATTTAGTATTAATGCTTAGCAGAGCCCTTCTTGACCTATGCTACCATCATGTTGGAAGAACAGGGACGATGTCCACACTCTGGACAACACCAGATTGCAACAAATGTGCTAGAGCAGACCTGCTGGGGATTAAATCAGTTGTTATGGTAGCTCCCAGCATTTAATTGAACCTGTAGAATAGCCAGTCTATGGATTCAACACATGGATTTGAAAAAAGGGATTCCTGAAAGATGAGGAGAATTCTTATTTTGGATTTCACATTACAGAAGGTGCTTCTGAAGAACAGCTGAAAACGCCCGGTGGATCTGCAGTTCTGTGGTACAGGTCGGCTCTTCCCTGTATGCTCAAGAGTTCGTTTTTCCACTGTAGGAACAGAAGTCACCTCTGGTAATTTACCAGCTTGATATGTAATTAGGGAAGGAATTTGTCCAGACAGCAGGTTAAGCATTTTCTGAGGAAAAGGTTTGCTAGAGCAGTAGCACATACTTGCTCAGGAAGCCAAAACACGGAATAGAGTATGATACCAAGACTGTATACAGGGTGTCTAACAAACCACTGCAGTTGCACAGAAATTTAACTTTAAGCAATTCCTAGTTCTGCTATAAGCTTTCCTACAGTCCCCATGTAGACAGTTTGTTGGTTTTTTTAATCAAAAGGAACATGTCTTTTTTGCTATGCCCTCCCCTAGCCCCCATCACAACCTATTCATACATGTACAACAGCCCATGCAACGGAGGTCCTATACCCCTACAGGGGCTCCCAGGCATTGTAATAACAGACACATGGAGGTGTGTGGAATAATTAGTGTTCCTCCTGGGCTATGCTTCGTGCACGAGCCACACACTGCAGAACCTGTTCCACCGTGAAAATGGAAGTTAATAACTGAACAGCAGTTTTCTGCATGTAATTCAGGAAAGCATCTGCCCTACTGCAGGGAGAAGGGAAAAAACCCACAACTTTTCCACAAACAGCACACATCATTTCCACGTCAATCAGAAGCGATGAGTTATCCAAACTCACAAATGCAGAGATTGCTTATGGTGTTACGGCAGCCTTTCTGTCCCGTGCCAGGGCCATGGCAGCATGCAGCCCTGCTGCTGAATCGGAAACCACCCCGCTGCATGCTAAGGGGGAAAACAAACAATTCTCCAGTGCAGCTCTAGAGGATATTATGTGTTGTTTTACATGTCATGGCAACTTCACAGAGAACCGTTAGCACGGTCCTGCCACATAGGGCCCTCTAATGCCTTTGGGACAGCCGCTGGTGTTAGGACATCTCCAGCTTACGCTTAAATGAACAAAAAAAGAATATTCTCACACTTACCTTCCTTCTATGTAGGAAAAACTAGAGTTAGAGAAATTAAGGCATATATCCACGCTACTGAACTGCAAGGAAAGAACATCACTTACAAGAGTCAGAGGACTGAGTATCCTTGGCTTTCCCTGAGTGATGATAAACAGGTTCTCTATTCTGTGTGTTAACCTAGTAACATATTTAATGCTTACTACATAAAGGAGGAAAAAGGCTGCTTGAATTCACAGTGAATAGAAGGATTTGCAATTACACACCATCAGTCAAGTGGGATTTGCTATTTTGCATTTTAAACTTCTTGCCTACACAATAGGAGTCAGCGTCAGAGGTTTACTCAGCTATTCTGATCTTCAAAACAACAGTGATGAAAGCATTGTGATGAGGAAACCTGTCTCTGAACCGAAGTTTGGAAAAGGGTACTTGGAGAAGGGGACTGTAAATACATATTGAAGCTGAAGGTCCAAGAGAAACGTTTAAAATCAAGGTCCCCACAAGTCACACACCTCTTGACTGAACTCCACTTACCTCTGTGCACAGCAGACTCTAAGCACATCAAGAGGTAGGAAAGCCTGGCTTCCCGAGACCGGGGAAGGTTCTCCACATTACAGCGGTACTTCTTCAGGTCACTTTTACAGGACTTTGCCAGCGAGTAACTGACTTTGTAGTCTTGGGCAATCAGTTTCTGGCGAGTCGTCAGCGCATCACGACACTGTAGGAGACACATTGGGATGGCTGAATGAGCTTCTGCACGCTGGTGGCAGAGAGCTAGACCTGCTGCTGTTAAGTTTTCAAGTTGTGCTTCAAAAGACGACTGATGCTTTAAAATTCAGGCATTTAAGCTGGACTGCAGTTAAATTTCATTTGTCTCATAGAAACCACACAGTTAACAATGCACATCGAGGTCAACAGATCAAGGGTTTTAAAGGCAGCAGCTCTCCGCAGAGCCCTTCTTAAAACTGCACATTCATCCAGCTTTTTGTGAACAGCTATGGCTGAGAGCATGACTCATTCTTGGTAACTAGGATCAGTTGCTGACATTTATCCCAGCTGTGGAACACACTCACCCCATGCCCTCAAGAAACAACTTTTCCCAGTCGCATTTACAAAATAGCGTGTTCTTTGGATTTGTTCTGCAACGTGCCGAACGGATGACTGCAGATAAAGCAGTCTAACCACGGGAATTTCTAGCCATTTTCCACAACTGGCGAGGCTCATGAGGATGCACTGTGGCCAAACCCGAACCCAGCAGCTGCAAGAACAACTCTCTAAATTTCATCCAAAAAAGGGCCTGTAAAAATACCGCTACGCTTTGTAGCTTTTGGTTTAAATTATATGAAAATTAAATCCGAGGGCGGCAGATAATTCAGAATAGCTCAGGCAAATTTGTCCATTCTCAGCCTATTTGAAAGGAAGGAAAACTGCATGTGTAGGGTGGGGAGAACAGGGAGCAATCTCGGCACAAGGAACAGAGAAGCCCTATAGCCCTCTCCCCTTCCTTACATCATGTTTTTGACTTTTCTCCCCCTCCTTCCCATACCCACTCCAGGACCTGGAAAGCCCTACTCCAAGATATTCCCACCCCCTCCTTCATGCTCCCATCTCTGTGCCATGACTGGGACCTTGGGACTGGGCAGACTTGAAGCTCTGGACACAGGGAGATACAGGTTCACAGGTACCTTATCCCCCAAAGCAGAGGAAGGTCGGGTACATCCAGGGAGCCCAGCCTGGCAAGCAGTTTTGGATTACACAAAGCAAGCCACCCACTAGGCAGCTATTGTTGGCTACATGTGTATGCAGAAGCCAATGCCATCAGCAAGGAAGGACTTTTTACTGGGTAACAGCTTCTACAAAACTAGTGACTTTGCAGATGGTCCAACCTTGGCAGCTGCAAGAGTGAGAACTAGATTTTGTATTCCTCCTGCTCTGCAAACTGCACCCTCAGAGCATCCACCCCTCTCTCCCTACCAAGTCATCTGCTACAGCTTTGTCTAACCTCTCAACACCTTACATTCGTATCTTAGACAGCTGGTCATGGAAAAGACCCTTCAAAAACCACCACTGTCCCTGTACAACCAAAAACAGGTTAAGCAAAAAAAAATAGCAGTCCACTTCAGTAACGCACTTGTACAAAATGAAGCTTTGTTTCAAGCCCTCAGGGATCACTCTCTCAGTTTTGAGTTTGTTAACTGGAACCAAGCTTTCAGAGCGCCAACGCATTTAAAGAAAGGGAAATGAGTCTGATCCCTCCAGGCCTCTGAATCGGGCTCCTTCAGCGGAGCTTCTCCGAGGAGGGCTTTACAGATACCCATCTTCGTATCCTTTCAGACAGATGATATTCCATATAATCCCAAACACTATGATGCTGCCTCCGAAATCATTGAAGGCGTTGCTGCCTTCCCAAAACACCTACACCAATACAAACTCTTTTCAGGACTGGCTTTCCAGAACAACTTTGTTGTTGCTGTTGAAAACCACATCTTCAGGAAAAACTTAAGGAAAACTTCAGTAACTGAACTGTGCATCTTTTCCACAGAATTTGCTGCTTCGCAGACAGACACTCATAGCCTTGAAAACAAAACTGAAACACACACAGCTTCCTGTGCTGAGGCATTTGGGCATTTTGTTTCTAATCTGTACGTTATGACAACATTTATCCAAGGCTTACCCCAGCATAACGCAACTTCTACTTTAAACACTCAATCACAGTGCTTCCCCTTGAGCTCCATGTCTGCCTTCCCAAATTACCCACCCAAAAGCTTTGATTTATTTAAATCCCTAACTTTAAAGGCTGTAACTTGAGTACAATTAATTCAAGCCATCAGCACGTAGCTGGAAACACAAACATATCAAAGTAAAAGCATCTGTTAAAGCAGTCGGTTTTCTGACCATGTAGATGATGGATTTTCCTCAACACTGGAAAAGAATAATGTAGCCTGGGCTGATGAATGATCTGATGATTTCTGCATTAAGGATTTGTTTCACTAAGACAGATACCTACCTTCTCACTCATTGATTCTTCAAACTTGTGATTAAACAGGCACTTGTAGACTCGGCCTTCCCCAGCCTGAGTCTGTGAAACAGAACAGTAACATTTACCATTAAAGATAAGACTTGTAATGCTTAACAAACAAGCTAAACTACACCTAAAGAAATTTGTTTTTTTAAACTAGAAATATATTAAAATTAATATTTCAAATGACAGTGATAGCTTCTATACTACAAAAATATTTTAAATTTTATTGCATTAAAAAAAAAATCTGGTTGTGTTCATCACCCTTTTAGTGAGAAGACGCTCAGCTGACACAAGCTAACTCAGACTGAACAACGCAGCTTTCCAGCTCATCGCTCCAAGGATAAGGAAGGCTGCGAGTAGAGTCAGACCCGGCTTACCTTGTGCAACAACTTACCACTGCAGAAGGGAGCAGTCACTTACCTTTGCTGCATCCTCCCCATTCGGGTCATTCCACTCCCTGTCACACCAGCTCTGATGCCCATTAAACCATTTATGCCAATTCAGTTCATTAACCCACTGGAAATAATGCTTATTTGTTGGGTGAGTGAATTTAATACCAGATTTATTGCAAAATGACAGCTACAAGGTTTCTGTTTTCAGTATTACACGATCTCGCTCAGGCTCCACTCTACCGTTCCTTCTTCCAATGGGATTTTGTTTTTTTAATGGATTACTGTAGAAGAGAAGGCAAGAGGAAACGACTCACGTTTTCACAAAATCGTTCTCTATCATCTCGGCATGCAAAGTAGAGATGCCGGTCCAAGTGGAAGTCATCCGAAGAGAGTTCAGCTACACGAAGAATTGCTTTCTTACACTGATCAGAAACCTGAATTCGAGGATCAGTCTCCTCTGCCTCTTTTACCAGGCCTTTTTCCAGGCATGCCACCACTTCGCCTTGTGAGTGGGCATCCTATATGAGAAGAACAAGACAACATCTGTAACCAAGCACTTACATGGTCAAGTGATCTGTGATTCTGGATAAGCACCACATAAATTAACCAACAAACTAACTCTCTGCAGTTACTTCCAAAAGTTCAGCCTAAACTGCATTTACATTCAGAGGAGGCAACAGTTAATATCTGTACTATCCACACACTTTATATATCACCATCCTGCTGATGGTCACCATGAAATCCCCCCCTCCAATGCTCTGGGTTTGTTTTAATGTGTCTTAATGAGATTAACACTACTTAGTCACACTGCTCAGAGCAGTTTACCAAAACGGCCAAATTATCTTTAATCTGACATAGCTCTCTTTGCACCATGGCAACAGCATCACATTAAGAACATACTTGGGGGAGAAAAAAAATCATAGTTCCTCCATGCTGAGACAAGCCTACAGTTTGGGTGGTGATAACTAGTGATGCTAAAAAGGCCACAAAGAAGCTTTGACCAACGGAGGCTTCTCAATCCTAATTCCTCCATTAAGAGAATAAAAAAAATTCAAAGCATTCAAGAGTAGATGAAGTCTCAGACAAAGCAGTTCTGGCCCAATACTGTACACCACGTCCACTGTCCTGCAAGCCTGAAGGCAACTTTGGACTATGACCAGCGACTGCCAATAAACGTAGAGAGCCTGTGCTTTGTATGAAAGCCTGGAAGAGGCAGGGCAAAGCCAAAAAAGCTCCATTTAAGTTCCCTACATCCTTTTTACATGTTTAGATAGGGAACTGTACCCCCTCTATACCCCTGCAGAAGGTCTGTTCCTCTAATAAAAAAGAACTCTTCTGGAACAGATCTCTCAAGGCTTCTGCAAGTTTCTCCTGTGAAGACCACCTTAATTTATGCGGCTCTGCTGTGAGAGGATATTGCTACTAAACTTTTATCAGGCTACCTGGAGTATACAACAAGTCATGCATATTTGCATACATCTGAATCGCTCATCTTGGCATTTGCAGTAACCATTTAGGAGCTATCCCTTCCATTCGCTCTGTCAAGTAGATTCATCCATTGCTGTTGCAGTAGCATGACTAAGAGAGCAGACTGCATAAAACGTGACCATGACTATTCAAAGCCATGCAACTCTTCCAATCTTTTTGGTCTGACATGTCTCCTCAGGCAGGCAGCCTTTGATGCCTGTTTTACCTCTGCTACACTTGGAGCACAAGCAGAATTGGCCAATTACAAAGTTGTAAACACAACCCAGAAGTACAATCAGTTTAAAAGAGCTAAAAGTAGTTTTCCCCTTAAAAAAAAAAAAGGCAAAAAACCCAAACCGCACACACCCCAAAACTCCTTATTTTGGTTTGCTCTCTTCTTTGAGTGGGAACTGGCCAACTCCACATGCTGGCCAGATATCAGCATCTTTGAAGAAATATAATTATATATCAACAGCCCCTTTAGGACTGAACCCAAAAGGGATCTGAGGAATATTAGTTAACAGCACGTTCACCACATTACTTAAAATTGCCATTTATCCATAACCACGCCAAACCAAACACTGTTCCGCAAATCCTTGTGGTCAGTCATAGGTAGTAATTACAACTGAGCAGCTGACAAGCGTAAATGATTGAAAACAACCATTTTAAGCTCCTCTGGCAGTTTTTTGCTCCAGCCTAGGTGAGGTTGCGGCTGGGAGGCAAGGCAGACTGAGATTACTCTCACTCACCTGCAGCCTCCCCTTGCAAGCCAGCAAGGAGGGCACAAGGCAGGCTTTTCCTGCTAGGAAAATCAGAAGTTTCCTCGTTTCTTGCAGCGTGGGTCTAGATTCCTGGTCAGAGTCATATTACATATGAAAGTAAATCTATTTTTAAAAGTCTAGTGAAAGCGGATTTCCGCATGCTGGTTGCATTTCAGGGACACAACATGAAATGACAAATTTATTGCATTACTTCGCAAATACAATTTTTACATTTGGGTAGATCATCCTGCAGTGCTGGCTACTCTGCTGCCCTGTATTAGAGCAATTTTAAAACATGTCAGACTTAACAGTAATAGAAACACACACAAGTCAACACAGCTGGCTCCTGAAAGATGCAGTCCTGCCCTTTCCTCCTACCTCCAAGCATTTACCTGCCTTCTTGTAGTGCCATTAGTGTTCCTGTGCCCACTTGACACTGTTTAGGAGATTTACTGACCTAATCTGGGGTTCATTTTCAGGCAGATCAGGTCCCTGAGTGCTAGTGCTGACTAGTTAAGCCATCTTAAGGAGGTCCTAACTCTCCATTTCTTCAAAAGTGCATGAAGGCAGCCACACTACTGGCCAAACAGAGTATAGATGGGACTTTACAAATGTGGTTTAGAGAAATATCACTTCAAGCTTTAATTATAGGCTAACACCTACTATATTTAAGATTGTACAATCTCCTATTGCAGACTGGAGGGGAAAACAAACGTGTGTATGGCTGCACTCAACCGTCTTTTTCTAGAGCAGCTGGCAATCAAAAGTTTGACAGGCTCATCCTAAGGATGGCAGGACAGCTTTGACACACATTTGCGGTACCTGCATCACTTCGCAGCTCTGCGCCACGGAGAGCTGCCTGTTCCCACCTGCACCCCACGTGCCACCAGTCCTGCGGGGCCAGTTCAGCTTCAGAAACACCAAAGCCAAGGGCTGGCATCCCACGGCACGAGCTCTCCCCGCCACGGAGAGCTGCCTGTTCCCACCTGACTCCACGTGCCACCAGTCCTGCGGGGCCAGTTCAGCTTCAGAAGCACCGAAGCCGAGGGCTGGCATCCCACGGCACGAGCTCTCCCGGTCCTGCTCCAGCACCGGCTGCCTGATGCATACAAGGGTATAAACGCCTGCTGCAGCTCTGCTGTGGAATGAATCCCAACAAAGCTTTTCGTCTATCCAGCACCCTGTTGTCAGAAAACCTCCACCTCAGAGTTGAAGACCTCTACATTCACTCCACAAGTCAGGGCTCCCCAAAATTGCTGCAGGGGCTGACAGAGTCTAGTACTCATTTCTTTAGGGCAACACGCTGAAATAGAGGAGATTAAGCCTAAAAACCACACACATCTGGAATTGTTGCCTCACCACCACTATCAATCTTAAATAGAGAATTTTAACTGAAAGTTGCAAAGATCTGTTAAACATACTAGATAATTATCTAGTCTGGAGTGCCTTGAAACTCCGTGTAGTTTTATGAAAGGATACATGTAGATCCACAAAGGATACAAGCAGCTTTCCAATACTGCCCTACTGCACTTTGAGCCACAGAGAAATGGAACTAAGTTCTAAATGTGGCCAAGCAAACCCCCTTCAGCAGAACGCTTTGGGAGATGACCTTTAAACGTCCCTTCCAATCCAAACTATTCTATGATTTTAATTCCTATGACCAAAATTCAAACTCCAAGCACATGGCTTTAGGCCAAGACAGAATTTTAAAAACCTTGTTCTTACTATTCATTTCCCATCAGAGATTCCCTGCCCCCCAGTATAGTTTAGGCTTTGCAATTCTTGGGTGGGGTTTTTTTTGTCATTTTCAGAAGCTCCTCTGGAAAAGACTTCATTCTGTTGAAACCTGACATGCCTCGAGTTCATCACTGTTCTAGCTGCAGACTTGCAGAGAGAAGCTAGAAAAGTGACCAGAAAAGAGTCAAGAACAGAAAGGAGCAGCAGGCAGGAAGGTAAAACATAACTTGTTATGTTTTATGCTTATCAGCACAGCACCTTGCACTGAACGGCCGTACTGACTTGCTGGAGCCAGAGCAGTCAGGCTATGGAAAACCATCCAGCAGATCCATGGCGAGTTCCAGTTCGGCACTCCAGCTGGCTAACCTGGACACCAGGGTTACAGTTACGGGGATCGCTCTTAGACTAGCTAATTCCCAGTACTTCAGCTGATAGAACACTGCCGTAATACTGCACTAAGTACACAAAACTGAGCTGAATGTTACCATCTCTTCCCATTTAGACTCGTTTCCCCTCTGTGTTAAAGAATGAGAGCAACTGTACCCAAAGGACTTAAGGGTGAAAAAAGCAATAAGACAATGGTCTCCTAATGTGTCTTTTTTTAGGAGTCTGAAAAATACTATTAACTGGTTAAGTACTACAACAGATGTGCAATTGACACTTCTGTAGCCTTCATTATGGCAAATAATCAACTCCAGTTTGGACATCACAGCTAAATCCAGCACCCGGGCAACTACAGACTACCCACTAGTTTGATACAATCCTGGACGTTACCGGGATCGGGAAAGCAGCTCATTCTGATAGGCAGCCCAAGAAGAAAAGCTCCGTTGCAATTACCAATTTCAATTTCAAATTAGATCCCTATTGCATGAAGATAAAGCAAGCTTTAAATACCAGGAGACCAAATTCGCTATAAAGCACAACAGCCAACCAGAAAGGTGACTGAAACGACTATTAAATATTTCTCCATTAACTGGAAGAAAAAAACACCACCAACAACAACAAAAAAAATCAACTCCACAACACAGGCGTATTACAAAACCTAATGCTTTCAAATGACACATCTACAGCCTTTCTGCTATATATAGCAAAATGAAGTCTACAGTCAGATTGAGACTTTTAAGCTGAACTTTATTGGTCTTACAGAGCAGAAAACCAACAAGAAACATGGAAAAGAAAGCACAGAAAACATCACATCAGAGGCAACAAACCCAGCAGGAACAGAATTCAATTAGGAAAGCAAGCTAAAACAAAAGAAGGAAATACAGAAAAGGAAAATGGTTAGCTAGCAGAGGGGCTTCAAGAGGCAGTGTAATCCCAGAATACCTACTGAAGTGCCTTTTACAATTAAAAAGGCCAGTTCATCCCACTATGTTACTATGATGAAGCTACCATTGCAATCTACTAGCTGCCTGATGTGGATGGAGTAGTAGTGCTTACTTCCATTAAAAAAAAAGAGAGAGATGAATCTCTTCCCCCATCTTCCTCCTCAGGTGTCCAGGTCCTATTTATTAAATTCACAGTTACATTCAGACACACAAAAGGGTAATGACTGTTTCTCTACAGGCAACTCTCAGAAGCTACAGCATGGAAATAAAACCTGAACCAGCATCTGATGGGAGTAAATTAGATGAGATTTCTCCAAAGCAGAAAAGGAATAGAACAGAACACCAACAAAAGAAATGCTTGCATAGCCATTTATAGCTGTTTCCATAGCAGTATAAAATACTTCAATTGCTCTAAGTGCCAAGGATGACAGCATAACAAAAGACATCATATGACAGACTGCGATGCTTTCACAAACCAAGGCAAAATATTCTGGGTTGGGTACCAAGAAAGTGAGGAATATGCATAAACCGCACTAACCCCCATAGAAGTTTGGTTAGTGACTCGCTTTGCTATCCCGCAGAAACTCGGTGACCCAAAGTTTGCAGTTGTTTCCCTCTCCCAGATGCCTTGTGACCTTAGCCACCCCGGCCACCCTCACCCTTCACCCACCTTAACTTCTGTGACCAACACGGTGAGTTATGCACAGTAACGCACACAAGCCTGCCAGCATTGGTTTCACTTCTACTATATGAGATTTGGCTTATGCTCACAAAATCCACTCTACTGTACCCTTCAGTGCTACTATAAGTATTTTAATTTTGTTTTAATTTGGTCAAGCCACAGGTAATATGCAGACCTGACATCCTGGACTCCCGTATTACTCTTCTGATTCTATACTGATTGTAAACAGCAACTTCTCATTTCATGAGGTCCTTCAGCCCAGTATTAAAAAAGAGCCTTTACTTTACGGAAAAAGCAGGTGTTACCAGTCTGAATCTGTGGGGCCTGCAAGTTCCTCCCACTTCTATGGTTGCTTTTGTTCTTGAAAGCAAGTCCTTATTTTTGTGCCTTCTGTTGTTCAGCTAAGTCTTCTGGAATACACTAGCACTTCAATTTAACACACTACGGATGTGAAGCTGCTTACAGCAGCGAACATCTCAGACAACTGGGAAAACTTGTTTTTTTAACCAAAAAAGTGTGTATTTTTTGTTATACACCTCCTCATCAATAGCTGATTTAAGAGACTAATTATTAAAAGCGTAAGAGCTATAATTTAAAAAGCACTGTAAAAAGTTGATAGGCTAATTTTATCTTTATCCCTAAACGTAAAAACTTGCCATAAAAGAAGCCACTCATTCCTGCAGCAATATATAATTGCTGCCTGCATTAGCTATGCTGAAGTAGACAGGGAAAGACAGTGCCTTGAAAATAACCCCACATGTAGTCACCACAAACTGTTCTTTGCATCAACCTCTGCTTAAGCCTCATAGGGCAAAAAAACATCGATTTAGTAAAACCAGTACAGTATTAGTCAGTTTGTACTACTAAAAGGTGCCCTTCAACCATTTTCGGGTGGGCAGGGGAAAGGGGAAGCAAACAGGTAAGAGCTCTTGATCCAGTCTATCAACTACAGCCTGAGAAAGCAGAAAGGGTTATAGCACAGGCCACATCACCTTGATAACCTTCCTGCGTCAGACCCCACCGCACTGAGAAAGCAGAAAGGGTTATAGCACAGGTCACATCACCTTGATAACCTTCCTGCATCAGACCCCACCGCGCCGTGAAATAAGCCTAGCAATAGGTCTGCTTAGATCTTTTGTTTGGATTCATCGTATCGAGTCAAGCCTGACAGAGCGTGGTCAAAAAGACAACTACCTACCAGATCACCCGTAGCGCGGTAAGGAAAGACAAATGAAAGTCGTCTCTGAATAGCAGTCCCACACAGAGGAACGAATGCATATTTATTAAAAAGGAACTATACAGAATCAGGACATCACCCTTTTCAGACAGATGAGATATGCCATGTATTTTTTCAGTTGCAAGTAAGACAATAATACTATTGCAGAGTCTCCACATAAGTTTCCTGAAGTGAATGACTTTTACAAGCCTATTGACAATCTACATGTTCTCTGGATACCTTTTCTCCAGGTCGAATGCTGCCACATTTCAGGAGATTGATGTCAGCCTTGCAGTCATCCATGAAGCCACAGATCAACCGATAATCGCTGAAGATAATGGCTGTCATTTTAGTGATGTACTGATGGCACTGGTATTCGGTGATGTTGCCTCTGTGATCCACCAAACATGACACCAAGAAGCCTTTACCAACTGGTTCATCTGCACACTCCTTGATCTGTTTTTAAAAAAAAAAAAAAAGAATAAAAATACAGGGGCTGCAGCTACTGAATTTAACCTGTTTTTTTAAAAAAAATCCTCAAAAACTTGCATCTGTAGCTTCAAAATCTGCTGGCAAAGAAACCCTCTAGGCTTTAGTTTGATTTTCAGTAAGTCAGAATACTTGAAAATATTTCAGAAATGAGAAATACCTCATGTGTGCCAGTATCTGAAGAAAGCAAACGCAGCGACCTTGAGGATTATGAACCCTTTTGCTCAATAATCATCTTTCATAATAATCACATTGAATCCCTGCAATCAAGTGGATTTGTAGGAAAAACGCTAGTTTGTCAAACCTTTATTTAGAAAGCTGAGCATATTATGACATCACTAAATCATACTTGGACCCCCATTAGCCACCTGACCTCATACAATATAACATTTTGGCTAGAAGTGAGACTGACTCAAAAGTCAACACAATATTTATTGAACTGTTTATAACTTGCTGGAAGCTGAAAATTACTATAAAGGAAAATCCTGATCAAATTCATTTTTATCAGGCTCTTAAAGAAACTGATTGTTGGTACTAAACCATTTTACTCAGTGGTCTTAAAAAAAAAAAATCATGGCTAACAAAAGCTGAAAGCTGTGCAGGGATTGGAAAAGCAGTGTACATGAACAGACAGGTCCCCAATATAAATCACAGCCTGCACTGCTCAGGGAAGCAGACAGTAAGGCCAAAACCGTCACCTTTGGAAGTAAAAGATGCAGGCAGTTTTGACAGCGCCTTTCCAAAGGAAGTGGAAAACATGGTTACTTATCAGTTAAGGACGCTCCCCGAGGAATCTTGCGATAGGAGCAGTGCAATGCCTTGCTCCCAGGAGTACCGAGATTACACGGACTCTTTTTAACCCTGGGAAGCCCGTGTTGAAATGCTTGCCCAGCTCTGGTGTCCCCTGTTCAGGAATATGCTGAGAACTGCAGCCGTAATGGCGCAGAAAGCGTGCGTGACAGCCAGACACCGAAGTTCAGTGGTGACAGTTTTTCAAGCAATAGATACATAGGTTGACTCGATTACATCAAAGATTTGTTCCTGTACTGACGGGCCCATCAATCTAAAGGGAGATCCATGGCAATCAATAATCCAGGCAGGTTCAGATACCAAGCAAGGGCAGCGCCAAGAGAACAGGCAGGGAGCCATTTTATCAGTTCTCAAAACCAAGTTGGAATCTTTATACTGGAAATTTTAAAAAATGAAGAGCCATCTCTAGAAAAATATATTCTAATTCAAACAAGAATTAACTCAGGTCATCCTGTGACAGACTCATATAGGTCAGACTAGATGAGTAAAACACATCTCTCTGCCTCAGCTTACGTGGCCATTACTTTCTATATAACAAATAAAACATGCAACATTTTAAACGCCATTATTTGAAGGCAGATGTAGGCTGGTAGAACATTTTGTATTTAACCTATATAGCTATTAGAAAAACATAGTTACTAAGGTCAATGTAATTGTTATAGGTAAGGCATAAAATCCATTTTGAAGTGAAAATACTTGATTCATTGCAGGATAAAAGGGAGAGAGCTGAGCAAGCTTTCCCCGAGAAAGCTGCATCTTCGGTTTGGCCCTACTTCAGCTCAAGTACCGCGAGCCAAACCCGCACACAACGGCAACATGCTGACTTTGGAAACAGCCCCAGAGCTTTGCGGCCTGAGCCAGTGAACTGCGTAAAAGACCAAGCAATCACGTTATTGCCTGGCCACTTCTGAAACAACCACCGTTATCTGGTAGCCAACTATAATTCTAGATTAAAATTAGTGCCAGAACTTAGAAAATCGCAACCGTTGAGAAAAAAGTTGATATTTAAATCTATATTTAGCTGATAAAATTAAGGTGGACTTTTCAGGATGTACCTGGTTGGGACAGCCACCAATTCCCAAATGACTTTTACTAGAAATTACTTTTCTAGTTTTATTTTGTTCTTAATACAAAGCAATACTTAAAATCAGAGCTCAGTCACCAGCAAGAAAACACCTACCTGTTAGTGTGAATTAAAGAAAAATATTAATAGGCTAATACTACATGTTAGCAGTACATTCCCACTATATATGTTAGTTTTAAAGAGTGTTTTAGAAATACTTTCAAAAAATTAGTGGAATAGTTTATGCACCTGCCTCAGTATTAAGTATCAGAAGATCAAACACATGAGATTATTGTTACTTATGCAACTTTTTTTTCTTTAAGTAAAAACCACTCACCAAATGGCAAAATACCAGCAGTTCATGTTATCATTCAACACAATTATAAGAGGAACACAGTGATTAAGGTACAGCTAAAATGCTATGCTCTTCCCACAGTTTTTAGACATCATATTGCAGATTTAGAAGGCATCATTTACACCAATATCAGACTGTCACTGTACAAAAGTGGTAATTATACAGACTGTTAAAAGAGCATTTTCAAGAATGCCTTCGTTGTAAAAATTCTGCAGCAGCTGTATGACATAAAACAGAAAAATATAATCTTCCCTATGATTGCAAAAAATAAGAATTTGACAGATTTCACAGTGTTTGCTTTTGGGAGCTACTGAACTCCAAACACAACATAACCCTTCGATGCAAGCTGTTTTCCTTCCACTGTTCAATATTCTAGCCTTCTTGTATTAACTGTTTTCTTGATCTCTCCTTATACTAATGCTATCCTTAACGCAACTCAGCTGGTGCTGAGAAGGGGAAGCAGAACCCTAGCAGGCCATGAAGAAAAAGCAGTCATGTACCCCTCAACTACAGTACTAATTCCCAAACTTTCGGAGCCAGGCTGCTGTTGACATCCTCAATTTCTCAGATCTTTGCATGTTTCTCTCAAATGAAAACTTCATAAAGAATGGGCAACAACACAGGTGGTTCCATCAGAATGTGAGGACTTGGGGAACCACTCATCTTAAACCTGCTCTGAGCACTGACATATTCCTCTTGTCTAATAAGCAAGTCTGCACCACCAAAAGCTAAGACCTGTGGAAAATAAACTGCCAACACAAACTGTGGTTGGAGAGACAACCTGCTATTCATGCGACTGATTGTCTTTCAAGAAGAACTACTTTAAAAGCCACAAAGGGGCCATCATCCATAGCAAACAATTTTTTTTTAAAGAGCAAGATTATGGGTGGGTGAAGTTATTTGGTGGATATACAAATGATGTTTTTCAGGGCACGGTTTAATGACTGAGTTAAGTCAGCTGAAGCCTGTACTGCTGTGAAGAGCCTTGGTTCCACTGCTTCCCCTGAAGTCTAGCTAAAAACTACTCCAACCAAAGGGAAAAAACCTCAGCTCAGTCAGCTCCCGTATGGCCAAGCGCTCAGCCTCAAGAGCTCTAGCATGAGCGCAAGGAAAGAAATGATTAATCAAGTAATCTTTGAAGCTGGACTGAGGTGTGTTGATGCTTGAGATACAGAGGACTAACTCCTCGTACAACCTAAGAAGAGGAAGTTCCTAACAGAGAGTCCTTGGAATAATTAAACTTTGAGCCTCAATGGAAAAAAAAAAGCCAATTCATCATTTCATGTCTATGTGCTTATCCTTTGCTAGCAAGACAGAATCCAAAACCAGCCTTATGCTAAATTCTGTGGAACCTCTGCTACACCAACACTGCTACGATTGTCCAACACTTGATAAAGACAAATCCAAACCACAACAGATTTCTGACAAAAGGTCAGGTAAGAGCTGATGGGGTTGTTAGTTTATTATTTCCTTCCCCCGCCCTTTTGCCTGGCACCACTAAGGTAACTGGCTTTTTCTACAAGGAGATCAAATTAATTACGCCTAGTAATTTGGCATGTAAGACTCGAGGTTCCCCAAACCCAAAACATTATTCACACACTAATTCACTATCACAAAGAAAAGAAAAAAACCCTAGCGCCACAATAGCAGCCATGCCTTTCTTCTGGCTTACCTCTGCAATAGTGGACTTGCAGACTTCTCTGGCCACGGATTCAAACTTCGGATCTGTAGTCAGGTTCAGCTTGTAGTTCCACAAGAGCTATAGAGAGACCATTTGTAGAAAGGGGGCTTAAGAGCTTCCCATGGAGAATGACAAATATTTTGCTTCAGAAAAGAATGAAACATCATTTATTCCCAATCTGTATCATCATCCTTCTACAGTGCAACAATCAATGCAAAGACTCCTTGACAACAACTTTGTCCCTTCATTTCTGCAATAATTTTCTCATCTTGAACAAATTCAGACTGTTAAAAATTTCTCCACAAGGTCATGAGCTGACTCATTAAAAGGAAAGATACCTAATGAAGACAATTTCATAACTGAAAGGATAAAACAATGAAAGCTGTAAATTGCTACCTGCTGCATATTTAGCAACGTCTTTAGCCCACCACACCTTTCTGTGCCATGACTTGTCTGCCTGATGCAAATGATCTAACAAAAATGAAGTCCTCAACAGGAGCAGATTTCATGCTGAAAACCTAATAAAAGCCTAACAAAAAAGGAAGGAGGACAATGCAGCTGGTCCCTTGTTCACTTCCTTCTGTGAGGGGCTGCGACCAGTCAACTTTTTTGGATGCAGATATATTTCAAACCTAAGAGGTTCTCTCTCTTGCTAAGCACAATGATATCTTAGAGGTTAGACTGCAAAATGCCTTGGTAAGGATGACTGTTCTTCTAGGAGCCAGAGATTAGCTCACGTAGGAGCCTAGAGGCATTTGATCACTGTGCAAGAATCAATCTTGGGCAAGTCACACTCTGCAGATATATACACATCCCAGATGTCCTCCTGAGGCACCATAAAGTAAAAATAGAGGGTAAGATAGCAAAACCTCAGCAAATTAATAGCTGAGATGTTGCCTGAGAAAAGCTCTATTAGCTCATCTGTTTTTCTCTAGGAACTTAAGTTGCATTTAAACATTTTTCATTAACATAAAGATTAAGTAGTTTTAAAAATTAATTTCAAATACTCTGCCTTTGTGACAAAATCAAATTAATATCAAAAAGATAAACAGTTTGGTCAAACTTTGAAGTTTCAATTGTACACAAACCCCTAAGAAAACACAAAAACATGCTCGTACACAAGGAAAGCACTTTTATATTATCTCCAAGAGTGTGGAAGCACACACAGAGAACTAAAAATGGAATCAGCACAGATGCACTGTCTTCCACACCTCACATCATGGAGTTGTGAAAAGTTAAAAAAAGGAGATGATGGGATCCCAGGGTATTTCAGAACGAGTAAGTAGTTGTAAATAGACAGGTTTAATAGACAAAAGTGAATAACCAGGGAACCTGTCCTCGCAAAGAGTGCTGTAGACCTCCTCCAGCCAGGACTGGAAGGACAAGAATGGGGTCCAACACCATAAGAATACACCTCTGCATTTGTAATCTTGAACTTTGGAGAGTCTCGAAATGAGATGCTCTCCAAAGGAATCTTCCCGTAGACAGAAGGAAGGTTAACTTGGAGCTTAAAAATCCAGATTTTAGCACTAGACAGTATTTTCCCAGGACATGATCAGTAGTTGTACTACCAAAGACTGCAGAGAGAGGCAAAAAAAAAATTTGGACATGAGACGCCTCTCTGCGGTCTAGCTTTTGATCACTCCCCTTCAATTTCTGCCTGGGAAAATGAGACTTTGCCCACACTTCCTATTCCTGAATGGCTTCTATAATCCACAGCAGCCTGACATCTGCCTTGTGGCAGAGACGCTGTCACTTAATCCAGCAGAGGAAGGGTCCGACTTTGATTTCTAGAATTCTTAATTTCTTCTTCATTCAGGTAATTTCTGCTAGCACATTTAAATGTCAGGTAGATAAGTTTTAATTACTGAAGTTTTCTCTTTTTCAAAAAAAGAAAAGACTTAAACAGAAACATGATGTGCCCTTCATCTGATCCAGCCCTGCGCAACAGAGAATTACAGCTACCATGAAGTCTGGCAGCACAGTGCTAAAGGTTAATTTATAAACACAGATGGAAATTACTAGTTGCACAGCATGGCTGGGTTTCATTTCTGGAATATATCTTCCAATAATAAACCAAAATACAGCTTCTCAAGTATCTGAAACCAAGACTGTCATTGAGGCATGCACTTGTCTGTGTCCAGGGCTAACCAAACAATTAAGAATCTTGATACGGTGTATCCTAACAGAATGCAAATGAGAGAAGCTAAAGGAAACCTAACATCAACATCAGCTCTGATGATTTTTTTTTTTTTTAAATGTCTTGGGATTTGAAGAGTCAGCTTGACAGCCTGAAAACTGGCTAACAGTTTGCTCACTGTTAAACACAGCACTGAGAGGAAATCTGTTCTAAAACCAGCCAAGTGGTTCAAAGTGCCTCTAAATATCACACCCCCACAGCATTTTCCAAGCAAGTCTAAGAATTTAGCAGCTGTGAAAGTAATACAGAAGGCTTCAACAGCTGAAATTAAGAGTTTAAATTCAGTACTGCTCACATCTTTCCCAAAAGGAGCACATCATATTGCTCCCAGTAACTCACGGGAACCACCCCCCAACTATAAAATAGGAACGACATCTGCTATCCTCCTCTGATACAGAAGTACAGTTTATAAAGCTCTTAGATATGTTTCCACCCTGAAGTCTCCAGTAAGACCACAGTGGCTATACTGGGGTAAAGAAGTCGCCTTGTGTTCTTCCTCCACAGGCCAGTACAGAAACCCAAACGCCTTTTGCAAACCGCCAAAATATGTAAAATACCTAATGTTGATAAGGGATAATAAGGTGCAAATGCCATAGCTAGAGACTGAATAAAACAAAGCAATACTTACGTGATTGCAGTCTGAAGAGATTTCATTATCTGGCTGAAAAGAGAAAAAAGGAGCGTCAGTTCACTACTGATGTGATGCATTTAACATACAGAAGAGAACAAACTTATAGAAACTAACACACTGTCAATTCATTTCCACTGTAAGAAACAATTTGACATAAGCAACAGGAAATTTTAAAACCTGCATAATAAGAGTAATGATAACTAAGTACCAAAAAGATCAAAACAACAGGTACATTAGACACAATGCTGTCTTAACTCTACAGAACATAAGTGGCACAAGAGTAGCAGCATTTACGTAGATACTGCAAAAACATAATGAATGTGCTTGTGTTTGGCCTAACTGCCCAAACTAAGAAGGCAAAAAAGCATCTGTGGGAAAACAAAGATGTGGTAGTAAAGTTTTAAAGAAAAATAAGTTTCACACATACAACTGAAGGACAAAGGTAGGACTCGCTTCCCTCCCCCAGATCGAAGTGTTCGTATTCCCTGTTTGAGAAGCAACGCCTTTTCTTTCAGCTGTACACGAAGAGGCTGGTCCAAAGCAGCCCTGAGAATTACACCTTCAACCATGAGAAACTGGTACATCCAATACTCATACATCGTTTCAAAATATTCGCTATATTCTTTATTTTATAAGTAATGAAGGTGCTGCTATGTTCTCACGACAATCCAACTGACAATTCCTAACGCACAGCCTCCACCAGACCAGTTTGCGTGTTTGAGAGAAACACCCGCGCTCTACAGGGAGCCGCTTCGGAAAGAACTCCCGCTGCAAACCATCCTGTCCTCCTTCCAGCCTGAGCTGCTCTCACAACGGAGAACTCCTTGGAAAAAAGTTAATCATAAAAATCCGTATCTCATCGCCATAGCAAAACAGCACAAACACAGGACAAAATCACCCGCCCATCGTACCCACAGAAAAATCAACCCTGCCTCACAAAGTCTCTGCTTCCACTGATATTTAAGATGCCAGACATGCTCTAAGAGCCACAGACACTCAAAACCACTCAGAGCTTAAACACATCATTGACACTAACACGTCAGACCTCAGATACTCGGCATAAGAGAACTAGCATTTCATCAGTTTTGGAAGCAAGGAGCCTACATCCCAAAGAGTTTTTCAGTGCAAGCATTTGCCGCTGCGCAACGTGTTACACCAACACTTGCACCATTGCTGCTTCGGAGCGCACGAACACAAGTTTGTGGGAAAAAGAGAGCATGGGAAATATTTCCAAGTCGTTAATTACAGCCATTATTAACTAAAGCACTTATTTTGTATAGCAGGAAGTGGCAGAAATTACCTCTCTGCTTAGAACATAAAAACCAAAACGGTACCTGAAGGATCACAGTAATTAATTGCAGTTTGGTCAGACTGCCACCATCTAAAGCTGTATCTCCCAAAGTAATAATAAATTTGAAAATTAGGATATCAACTTTTTTCAAAAGGTTAGCAGATGCCTGCTTATTATCCTCAGACTGCAGAACTGATACAATTGAAAACTAAGGTGACATCCAAATTACACTATTTTAAAGCAGCCTCCAAGACCAACACTATCATGACTTACAAGGTGGTTTTTCCTTAATTTTCTGCACCCATCCTAATCATTCAGCAACAGACAGAGGTTTTAGACTAAGCTAATTTCAAAAGCTCAGAGTCAGATGTTGCTGTCTCAGTCTTTTAGTCAAGGATAGCTTCTTTATAAAAATATATAGGCTAGCACTGTAATTCTCCTCTAGAGGACAGGACTTACTAACACATCTGCAAGCAGAAGAATTTGTAAGGGCCAGAGAGCACTCTCCCAAAACCCTTCTTGGTTGCTTCAGTTATCTTTGCATCCTCCAACCTAGTAACCTTTGCTTCAGATCCACCAAAGATGAAAGTTCAGTTTTTCCGGAAAGATGAGCCCAAGAAGATAACAGACTGGTTCTCACTGACTTGGGAAGCTTAAACAAGCTTTTCTTGAAATACACAACACTAAAATACTGCACGTTGAAATACCAGCCTTCCTTGAGCTCTGCAGCAAACCTCAGCTCTGAGAAATCAAGCCTTATTCTCCTGAGGAGAGTAATGGAAGTTAAACGGCACCTTAACTAAGCTTTAGTATTGCATACATTCACAGTTCAGTACTTAAATATGCAAAAGCATAAGATCTAGCCAATAATCCTTTAAATGTGGAACAAGATGACCACCTGCTAGCTAAAAGCTGTGATCCTTCTTCCCTCTTACCGTTGCAAGTGTAGGAGAGGTGGGTTCAGTGGCAATGCTGACCTGCTTCTCCCAACTTAAGTGAAGCAAAAGGAGGCAAATAATCCTTTTTGTCTTGTGTCTGATAAACTGAAGAGCTCTGTCTGAGGAAGGGGAAGAAAAATGTCCCCAGCACAACCCACACTAAGGAGACAGCCTGTGGCCCTCTATCCGCTACATCCACCCAAGAAACCTTCCAAACAAGAGCAGTTTCAGAACAATATGCTTGTGTAGCAAAAGTCATGAAAAAAAGGTAAGTTTCAAATTACCACTAAGAGAAGTTGAGGAGCAAGAAAAGCTGCATTGTGTCATTCCCACGTGGTGAGCTTGAGGAACATGGATGCTCAGAGACCCCGGGGCAGGGGGCAGGAGGAGAGCAGCCCAGACAGGCACCACGTGCTAGCTGAGGCATTTTAGGAGAGGAAGCTGACGGCAAGGAGGACGTTCCACCCATTACCGAGGGAGAAGGATTCCGCTTACAGCTCCTAATTGAAGGATTAAAAACAGACTTTACAGAAAAAGTACGTGTGCCTCTGGGCTCACAGAAGCTTCTGCTGTTTAGCAGCTTCGGTGGGAATATATTGCCTCCGTTTGCAGTTCTCTAAAAAGCTCTCCAAACTCCTTCACGCACTAACACTCACATTCCAGAGTATGAACACCACTTCCTACCTCCCAGGAAAAGCAGAGTTTAGAACAAGTACCAGCTATAAGAAAACCTGAACAGAAAAAGCATTTCCTTCTGTTCAGCCACATACAACAGACACAAATCATACTGCATTAGTATTGTGAACTCTTCAGAGAAATTCAAAGGTTTGTATGAAGTCATATCACCACCAGACTATGAGGTCGTCAACACCGTTGTGTTTAAAAGTGACTTTTCTCATCTACCAGATCTCAACTCACTGAAACAAGCTGCCACAGCCGTCCCTTTCTAAATCTCTCTGCTGCAGCAGCAGCATAGAACTAGGTCAAAACTATACAGCAAATGAGCAACCCACCACCACTAACCATGCTCAAGAAGGCACAAGGGGTTGGTATTTTAGCTTCAGAAACAGACCATCATCATGCTGGTTCCCAGAAATAGTTACCTAGTCGTAGCTGTATCACGAACCAGTGTCATGCATCACCATCTAGAGAAAAGCACACTGCCTGGGGTGCAATTACTGTCACCCCCCCCAGAGCCCCTTTCAGCTGTGTATACAAAACAGACTTGATTTGGTCTTATTTCATCACATCCTAAAAAAATAATTCACACCATAGGATTCTTACCTTGCTTTTCAAAATCCAAACTAACTACTGTGGATGAAACTCAAGGTCTTGGGAGAACTCTCTGCAGGGATTATTTCAATCGCCAGCAGCTGCTTGACCTTCCTTTCCTTTGCTCCCTTGCAAATGTCATGCAAATAGAAGAGTCTGAAGTCAACCGCGCAAGTGCCTTTATTCCCAGATTTTAATCCCTCTTTAGAGCAGAACAGGGGATGACAACAGACGTTTCCACTGTTCTTTTGAGGCAAGAGTAGCAGCGTACTTACTGAAAAGTAAGGACCAGGCATATCTCAAATACTAACTACGGATAATCTTCAGGCATTGAAGACTTCAAGCATTGAAGGGGACTTTGGACCCGCTCAAGCAAAAACCACCGAGAACCAGCATGGAGCAAACCAGCAAAATAAAGACGTAATTGGCTTGTGGATGGGAGGAACCCAGTAGATGTTCTCTCCCTAAATTCAGGAACAGATTGCAAAAAGATCAAACAAGTCAATTAGGAAAGGATGTCAATTAAAGTGGCTACCTTCCCATGAAACAGAGGGTAGGCAGAAGTCCAGCTAGACTGCGGGCGTTCCCCAGTTTACTACACTGTCACACGTATGACACACTACAGAGCACGGTGTATATGGATACGCAGTACAGGCAGCTCATGGTTCCTAGCCACAGCGCTGAAGTTTTCCACTCTGACCTATACACATTTATCACTAATATCTGTAGAGATACGGTAGAGCAGGCCTTCTGACCCAGAAGATTCTAACAAGGAGGGTACCAGGCTGATAAAGGAAAAATTACTTAGCTGTGTCCTTCCCACAGATAACAGCAATCCCCTCCGAAATGAACACACCCAGCCAGGACAGGAAACTCACAATAAGGCGATTCAATCCGCAGGTATCAAGCTAGCTAGACTTACAACGCCAGAAAACAGCTCAGGCTAGAAGCAAAGCAGGGATCAAGGAGAGATCTGGGGGAGCCACCCTCCTGCAAACTTGATCCCTTCCCAAGGCAGCCACTAGAAATGATTCTGCAGAACGGTCTGTGGAAACAAGAGCAGATACAGTAGTCTAGGCAAGAATCAACACAGCTTTTGTAAAATAAGAAAAACCACACATCACACAACCACCCATGCTTCAAACCTACTGAAACATCCTGGAGTTCTGTGCCAACAAGCATACGGCTACAGTAAGCCGTTTTCACACACCCTGCAATCCTGAAAGAGTCATGTGTGATAAAAAAGTTAAAACCAGTGATAATTTAAGTTCAAAACAGATGACAAGACTTCATAATTTAATTACACGTCTAGTGAGCAATAGAAGTTAAACTTGTTAAGCTGAGCTTGAAATATTCTCTAATGCCAGTGAACTGTTAGTACTAAAAACAAACCCAGTGTTGTCATGTCAGCAAAAAAACTCTACACTTATCATTCATGCTTTGGAAAAATGCCAGTTTGAAGCATGGTACTGTGCATGTATCACGCACCAAAGTTATCAAGCTGCTATCTTCCATATACTTTGCTTATTTCACATAAATAATTTTTTCCCCACTTACAAACAGAGTGCCAAAGTCTGCAACACTGCAAATCATTTGACCAAATAATTATTTCCACATTGGTTAGGCACTCCTAGTTTATGCAAACTTAACAATACAAGTCATACACAACCAACCAACCACCACCTCCAAAACATACACAGAACTTTGTGTATGAAAGTCAAATTATCAGGAGCACCCCCCACACACAAAGCACAAGTAGCAAATCACCCCAAACACCAAATTCTGCAACTGTGTTTTTCATGTTTTTACCTGAATTCTAGATTCCACAAACTTTCCCACCTATGCTAACATTTTTTAACCTCCATGATATGGCACCATTAAGACAAGTATGCTCATTCAGAAAAGAGATCACAAAGCAAGATCAAAAAACCCCAGCACAACATGTTGTGTGTCCTTCTGGCCCAGCGGCCAGGGAAAAAGGAGCCAAGGATGAAGCGGGCCTTGTCCGCTCGCGCTTTGAGGATCTAGTGTTCAGTATCTGCTTCAAACACCAAGAAAGTTCAGCAAGTCTTACCCTTTCCTATGTAGCTTTGATAAG